TATATATATAAATGCCTTTCAATAGGGCAACACAAAAGTATGTTGTTGGAAATACCTCAAAATTTATCTTATTATTATTCATAGGGGGTTATTTAAAATGTTTGTTGGGCATCAACTGACAAAAATTGATTTAAAAAATAATTGGCTGAAATACTGGTGGTTTAAGAAATTTACTATGACTTGGGGGCAAGACAATTTTAAACCAAGGAGTTGAAGTCTGGTCAGGTGGAGATATAGAAAGTCAAGAAGAGGGACCAGCAGGTGGAGTAATGGTAACGTTGCTAAACTCCCATGGAGTCGACCACAGTTTGAGTCCCAGACTCAGCAGCATAAAACTCACATGGGGCACGTGTGCATGTGTGCCCAGAATCCCAAGACTAGAATGGAGGAGAAGGGACTGCAACATGGCCATTCCCCTGGGAGATGATTTCCTGCTCTCTGTCTCTTTCTCTGCAGCAAGCATAGGAGCCCTATAGCAAAAATCTCTCTTACATATATTTTCATGGGTGGTATTTCCACAACTTTTTGAAGGAATCCCTCAGTGATAATTGACAAAAGAACTAATGGTTTGATCAAAGACTAAGCAAACAATTAAATCTACAGAGCCTCTCAGCTTACAAGAGGATTGTTTCCCAAGAGTTCTTTTGTATGTTGTTTTTATTTGAACTTTAACACATTTGTCATAGAAACAAAAATATGATACATGATACATTCTTCTGGGAAACCTGGTAATTTTCAAATGCAATAAATATTATTATAAAAAATCATAAAGTAACAGAAATACATTTGCCCTAAAAACATTAGACAATGTATTGGCATCATTTAACACTTACTCGATAGTCTCCTGACATAGTGTAATAATATTTTTTTCTTTTTTTAACAAAAATATCCACAATAATAACAGCCATCATCATAAAGGATGGAGCAATTACTTTGGTCTCTATGAAACGCCTTACCCACAAAGCTTAGCTGACCCTACCACAATGCCAACAAGTAGCATTATTGTCATTTTAAAAAGAAATACAATGCTCTGCAATGCTGGACCTGCATGGGAAGATCCTAGTTTCATGTCCCAAGGCCTCCCTGTACACACTGGGCATTTGATCCAGGCTGTTCAAGAGGTGATTAAGATGGTCAAGAAGAAATAGCTCTCAAGGGATCCTTCAGTGTAACTGACAAATTATCCATATGGAAGATGTTGGGTTCAGTTCCTTGGCTGACCTGTACCTGCCAGGCATGCACATCAATAATGCTCACTGGCTAGGAATGTTGGGAGGGGGGAAGAACATGATGTGAGACCCTGCCGATGAGTGCTGTCTTTCTCTCTGTCTCTTGTTCTCTGTCTCTCATTCTGATGAAAGAAAGAAAGAAACTTTAAAAAATACCTATTTCTCCCATAGCATGCAGACATTCAGTATTTACTGAATAGAGATATACAGTGTTTGTATTTCATAGTCTGGCTTACTTCACTTAGCATTAAATCTTCTCTATTCATCCACTTTGTATCAAATAACAGGATCTCATTATTCCTTATGGTTCAGTAATACTCCATAATGTACATGTGCCACAATTTTTCAATCCAGTCATCAGTTCTTGAGCACTTATATTGGTGGGAGGCAGGTA